GAAGTGTGCAGATTGGAAGAGGAGTTCGACAAGGATGCTGTTTATCACCAATTCTGTTCAACTTGTACAGCGAATGCCTTACCAAGGAAGCTCTGGATGGGCTCGGTGACTTCAAAGTAGGAGGGCAAATTATTCAAACTGTGAAATATGCAGATGACCTTGTGTTAATGGCTAAGGAAGAAACTGTGCTACAGGGCATGATTGATAGACTAATTGAAACTGGAAGGTGCTATGGCATGGAAATGAATGTGGAGAAAACAAAAGTAATGAAAATTTCGAGACAACCAACCCTTGTCACAATAAAGATAGACCAAAAACAACTGGAGAATGTGAAATGTTTTAAATATTTGGGTAGCTTGTTAACAGATGATGAAAGGTGTACTAGTGAAATTAAATCCAGACTTGCCATGGCAAAAGCTCCATTTAGCAAGGAGAAGAAACGTTTAACCAGCAAATTGGACTTAAATTTGAGGAAGAAACTAGTGAAATGCTACATTTGGAGCATAGCTCTGTATGGGGCTGAAACATGGACACTTAGGGCAGTAGATCAGAAACATCTGGAAAATTTCGAAATGTGATGTTGGAGAAGGATGGAGAAGATCAGTTGGACCGATTATGTGAGAAATGAAGAAGTGTTAATCAGAGTCAGTGAGCAGAGGAATATCCTACACGAAACAAGAAAATGAAGGCTAATTGGATTGGTCATGTTTTAAGCAGAAACTGCCTTCTAAAAGAAGTTATCGAAGAAAAGATAGATTGGCGGATAGAAGTGACAAGAAGACGTAATAAGATGCTGGATGACTTTGGGGACAGAAGAGGATACTGTCATTTGAAGGAGAAAGCTCTAGATCGAATTAAATGGATGAATTGTTTTGGAAGAGACTGTGGACCTGTCGTCTGACAGATTACTGATGATGATGATGTTATAGTTCACAGTGTTATAGTGTTCAGTGCTTTTCAGTTAGGGGGTGCTGGTTTGATGTGGATGAAATGTACATACTTTACAGGCACTGGGAGGGAAACTTTCTCCTGATGGATATGAGTGAAGTGTTATTATACTCAGGTCCAAGAAAAAGAATCTCTGCAGTACAGGAGATCAAGTTGCAAAATTATTTGTTGCAATTGTGACGCTTGGTCTTGGCTGGCCTTGGAGGGGGGGTGTTGTAACCGTACGCATAAGCCTGTGCTATGATAGCATGGTAGTGCGTGGTAGCATCGTGCTCTCGGTACTGGTGGCGGTGGCATTTGTGTCAATAAATTTGCATGTGAGTAGAGATGGCAGCAGTTATGCTTTTTGGACGTCGCGGCGGATATGCTGCAAGGTATTACTATGAAGTTAAGGTTAGATGGAAATTTATACACGTTTAAAATTTTAGATGAGTCTAGACGATATAGACGAAACCAAAAACGAAAAAATAAAGGATACTTCTTGCCTCTAATAAAGATATGCCTATTTCTTATGAATTACTGATCGTGGAAGATGACTCAGTTTGCAGTTTATTATTATTGTTCTGATTAACACGAACAGAGGAATGCATTTGTAATACCTTGCAATAGCTCTCACGGCTTGGAGGGCTTTGACAATCGTGTTCGCCAGTAACTTGTTATCGAGATAACGTCGGCGCATTGTACAACATTTTTTATTGTGATACAGCTTACAGCATCCATTCCAGATTCATTCTATAAAGTCAGCTAGTTTGATCATGTATGCAGCGATTAATAACGGTTATTTCATCCGGAAGTATTTTTAATGGAACTTGATGACAATGCTTAATTTTATGTAATTAAACATTAACCAATGTCTGAAAAAATGCCACAGGCAACCATGACGTTAAAGCAGGTATTGTCGACGGGTTATTTATTTATGGTTCTGAAAACGTGTACATTTCTTGTTTTAGGTTATGGTGTAGTTCGGGGCGTGTAACTGTTTGATATGTATGTAAACACATAATAGTTTAATTATGGGAGTAAGGCGCTATTTTCTCTGCTTATAGCCGTACGAAATTTATTTTGCATGATCTGGCCAACTTTAAATCAGTGGTTTAATGTAAGGGGCCAAGCACATTGAGCACATAAAGAATATCATAGTTTTAAGATTTGAGGTTTTCACGGCGGTGACTATGAAGAAAGCAATCTTCTGGGATGTGGCACCGGGTAGATCTACACGGTGCCACATCCTAGAAGACCGCTTTCTTCAGTATCATAGTTGTTGGCTTTGCGTTCATGGATGCCCAGCCTAACATTAATTGGGTCAGATTTTTGAAGAGCAAGTGGTGACTTATATTGGAATGTTATGACCTGAACATCGCTTCATAATGTAGCAGTTAATTGTCTTACGGCCATTATGTTATCTAACAATATATTTGGTATGCAACGCATACTGTATTTATATCTATAGAAGTCAGGATTACCCAGCCGGTATTGTGACGTGCTGGACGGCCCAGGTTCGATTCCCGGCAGTACAGGATTATCATCATCTCCGCAGTGTTCAGACTGACTGGGGCTCACCCAGCCCCCTATCGAATGGGTATGAAGGGGGGCTACTTTCTCCAAGTTTAAATGGCCATTGCATGAAGCTGACCATTCACTATCATATAGTGCCAAGGTCAAGAAAGGTTGAGGTATACTTCCACTCATCACTCACAGTGTGTAGTGCTTAACTAATTAACCACAGGGACAACTTTACCTTATTAAATCTGTATGTGAATCCATATTTATTCACTGTGCGTTGTAATACAAACATTAAATTAATTACAGCATCATGTAAGTATAGATGTGAACCAGCAGAATTCCACAGTTTCAAACATAATGACATTTTTCTTTCTAGTTTATGCTTCGTCAGCAAGTTCTGAAACTGTATCGTAGTTTCTTACGGGCTATACGTGATGTTCCTGATGAAGAAAGCAGAAAAGAATTACTAGAGTGGGCACGTTCAGATTTTAAAAACAATAAGCATCACACAGATGAGGTAAGTGCACAGCATTCTCACATGGTCTCACAACCCACACTGTTGACCTGTATTATGTCAAGGGTTGCCTGATTTTTGACCACTTTGTATTTCATATATACATAACCTGAATTGCCATAGGGTATGCTACTGTGATTACTCATCATGGTTTTTTCCTTTCACAGTATGCAATAAAGATGCTAATTTCTCATGGAGAACGTCAACTCAAACAGCTGCAGCAAAATGTTGCCTTCAGTAGATGATGTAAAACAAGATGTTTAAATTCATTTGTACATAAATGTACATAGTTATTCATAATGTTAATTAAACTTGATTGCATACAATATAAAATAGCATAACACACTCCATAGGGCAAAGTCATTTGTGAGAAGCTGAGAATCATGCAGCTGGCCAAGAAATTCCCTACTTTCTACAAAAACCCAGTGTTCATTATTGTGAACAAATCATCCAGTACTGGTTGAATCCATTCTACACCTTTGTACCCTATTTTATATATATCCACTTTGCTATTATAGTCCCTTCAGGTTTCCATGCATTTCTCATGGATGCTATATCACATTCAACTCATCATCCTTGTCTTGATCACCCTAGTTATATGGTACAAACCAGTATCAGTATGCATGCCATATCCATATAGCTCAGATATAAGATAATTTTTCCAGGAACTCATTTTCATGTAATAAATGCTTATGGTCCTTGGAGGATGATGCACTAATTCTGCCTGAAGTTCTTATAATTATATCATAATTCTAATTTAATGTTTCTCTTGAAGTTTGTATGATAAACTGAAGAACATATCCAGGAGGAAATGAAACTGGGACTGTAGAAAGCATTCAGGAAGTAAGAGAAAACCATAGATTTACAAGGATTAAATGTGGCTTCCACCATATTGTTTCTTAACATTGATACAAATGAAATAGAATTATAACGTGTGGTCATGCAGTTTAAAACTATTTATTATTAATTTATTTTAATTCAGATTATTCGTTGTTCTATTACATTATTTTTGCCTTAAGTTTTCATGGGCCATGTCCAATGTATATCCTGGGCTTTTGGGTTTGGCTGCATATGTTGAAGCTGTTCACTCTTTCTGCATACAATACAAAATAGTCACTACTTTTAAAGAATGCTTAACGTTTTCAATATAGCAATTGGCCATATTCTGTATGATGGTTTCAATTCATGACAGAGGCAAGGACTTCTCTCTTTGCTACCACATCCAGCAGATTGTGTGTGATGTCCTCCTTAGGCTCTTCTCCAGCTAGTACCAGGAGATCTTTCCCTAGGGTAAAATGGTTGACATAGAGCTGACCACAGACCTCTGTTTAGTTCCAAGGATCCATACATCATCATGATATGCTCAGCTGAGCACAGAGAACTTCATGTACACTTTTCATTGTTTTGGAAGTACTAGCCATACAGTAGGTCTCCTGTAGGTACATGAAATTTTTAATGGATAATAGATTAATTATTGTAATACCAAGATGTATTAATTGACAGTAAAAGTAATGCACGAAGAGTCAGCAATGACAAAGACTAATATGACATGTCCCTTATTGTGAGTAGTTACAACTACCCACTATATCAGCAGAGATATTACATAAGAGCACTTCAGGTATAATGACTTTAAGATAAAAATGTGCCTCGTTATATCAGGAATGATAAAAAAACACTTGTGATGATACTGCAAAGCTTGTTTCATTTTCTTACATACATACGTATTACAGGTGATCCAGAAGAGTAGTCTTGGAAGCTGGTATGTTAATCATGCAGGGTTTTGAGCAACTAGCACATTTAGAAGACATTATCTTTAACTACAGTAGTGTGTAATAGTAATAGTAATTATATGTACCATGATTTATTTATTTAACAGCTCATATAGCACTGAATGATTGGGTGATTAGTGAACAGTGAATTGGAAAGATATGGAAAGGAGCTGTTATGCCCTAATTTGAGATACTATTCCAGCGTTTGCTTCAGAGGATTGAGGAAAACAAAAAGCTCTGATTAGGATAGCTTAATTTCAGTTGAGCCCAGGAACTTCCAAATACAAAGTAAGAGTGCCACCTGCTGAACCATAACATTTGATGTATATCTAATATGAAAGTGACTCTGTGCCTAAGCACCACCCTATGAAATCATATACAATACAACCCCCACTGTATTCTTCACATAAGTTTTTTCGCACTTAAATTGACCCTCCACAAAGTTCTTATCAGATCCATAATCACTTATGCTAGTCCCGCCTGGGAATTTGTGGCAGGCACTCATCTAGTGAAATTGCAGGGCCTGCAAAATAAGGTTCTCCGCACCATTGGCAATTTTCCAAGGCGCACACCGGTCTGTGATTTGCACATGGCATTCAAAATCCCGTACGTATATGACTTTATAATAAAATTATGCAGGCAACAAGCAGAAGCCATACAAATCTTGATAATGAGAATGTTTGCAACATCGGAGAAGGTGAAGACTGACACAGAAAGTATAAGAGGCTTAAACTTTGTGGCTGTCAAGCATATGACCGTTCAAATGACTAGACTGCCGTGGTAGCGAATACTACTAGAAATAGGTCATAGTCTGCTGTACTGAGCCTAGACTGACAGAGACCTTGTATATATTATATATTAAGATTCAATTGTAAATAAGTGTACATAGTGAAAATGGACTGATACTTTCGACTATGACTGACAAATGACAGACCCGACCTCTCGTCAGAGAGGGTGCCCCACATTGACAGGATAGTAACTTTCACTTAAAGAGTAACATCTGGTCATGAGCCCCACCCGACCTCTCGTCAGAGAGGGCGCCCCACATGGACAGGACAGTAACTTTCACTTAAAAAGTAACATCTGGTCATGAGACAGACAGACAGACAGACTGACTGACCGTCAGTCGCAACGACTATGGCTATGACTATGACTTTGACTTTGAATTTGACTCGACACTGTAGGAGATAGATCGAGTCATTGATCACATGAGATCAGGTTCTTCTGCTGCTTGTTGTTTGTGGGGATGTCAGATCAATCAGTTGCTTCAGGAGATTGAGAAGAGAATTTAAGATTGAAATTTGGTGCTTGATTTCTGCTTTGTAAAATTTCTGCTTTGATGGCAGTCATGGTTGGTTAGGAGGTTAGCAGTGTGAGTGAACCCATCAATCAGCGCTGTCAGAAATTCTGTTAGAATGTGGATTGGTTGGTGTGTGAAGTTGGAAAGAAAGAAAAAACATTGGTGACAAGTAAATGACTGAAGAACAGATTTAGACTTAGGCTGAGTGATTTGTGGGGAAAAGATAAAAATTCAGTGACACTAGTGTTATACCAAAGTTGGTAGTGGTTCAGTGAGTGTTGTGCCATGCCAAAGATGGCAGGCGTCTGTGTGCCGGGGTACCAGGCATTCTGGGCAGAGAAACTTGCCTCCCTACAGGCAGAGTAGAAGCCACTCATAAGGTAATAGCCTGATGTGGATGAGCAGTACAGGAAGTTGTTTACAATCCTCTTTGATATCGAGAATGTGGCCAGCTATACGCCAGCTGTGGATTTGGAGAGTGCCGAATGGATGGCAATAGTCAGCGCTGCAGATGACAACAGGGCCATGTACTACAAGGCTGTCACCGGTAAGATACTGTTCAGATATCTGTATGGGACATACACAGTTACACTGAACGAACTGAGGTCCCTTCTGAAGTCCAGTACCATGGGCAAAACCACAGCAAAGGCAGGAACTCCAAAGCCAGCCTAGGAAGGCTTCAAAGAAGTCCGAAGGCGCAAACGGCACAGCACCACTGAGTCTGCCCCAACTTCAAAAAAGTAGCAGCTGTGGCCGGAAGCACCCCAACAAATGAGGTTGCCGCCTGCAACTTTTTTGCACCTATCAGGGCAACGGTTATGAACACCAACCCTTCTGGTGCCGAGGCCACTATAATGGAGGAGGCAGTCCCTGGTAAAGCAGGCAGGTACCCACGATAATACTAACATCAAACATCGACATGATTCAGTTGAAAAGACAACTGAAAAATGTGGTCAAAGGCGACTCTTAGTTCCTCAGTACAAAAAAAACGGAACCAGTCATCACCAAAGGCATGGCGCATTTCGAAGCCGTCAAATCTCATCTCTCAAGTAACAACCTATCCTATTACTCCTTTCCAAAATCCCCAAAACCCATAATGGCAGTAATCTGTCACCTCCCTCCCAATACCCCTGCGGAGGGCATTACTGATGGACTGGTGACCCTGAGATTTGATGTAATTAGTGTCAAACAGATGACTACTACTCGCAGGTCACCTTCTGAGGGAAGGACAACAAGAAATCTTCCATTATTCCTTATCACCGTACCTCACACGGCAAAATCTCAGGAAATTTTCAGCGTGCGAAGCCTTCGCAATATTTCCATCAGGATTGAGGCATATATGGCACAGAGTGGCCTTACACAGTGTCACAACTGCCAACGTTTTGACCATGTCTGGTGGCCACCTCCACGTTGTATGTAGTGCGGAAGCGGCAACCCGCACAAAGAGTGTCCATAGAAAGAGAACGCTGCCTCCGCTCCAGCTTGCTGTAACTGCCAAATGAAGGAGGGGAGAAACCCCATCCCACCAACTGTCAGGACTGCAGACGTGGAGGAGGAGCTGCAGAAGCGGAAATTACAGAGTGCACCCAAAACCTAAAAGGGAAGGCTGTTTTCAAATATCATTACTCCAGATGTTTCCTTCGCGGCAGTGCTTTGAGACATCACATCGCAAGAGCAGCGACCTCACTTGCCAAGTTCCAGTGGCTGTTCCACCAGCAGCCACAAAACCGAATGTCCCGGCCCCTGTACAGGAACAACAAACAGGTCAGTCAATTTGGGCTCCAATTGTAAGCAGTCAATCCCTCAACAATATGTTGAGAGTAGTGACTGCAGTATATGGAGCTCTGTCAGAGGGAGAGAAAATAGTGGCAATCACGAAAATTGTATTAGATATAATGAAAGAAAGTGGCCACTAGAGTTCATAGGCCCCTTGAAATCACAGCATTTGATGCGAACGGCATTGGGAGGCAGCGCTATGAGCTCAGCAAACAGCTGCAAGACTTACACATAGATGTGGCTTTGTTTTCAGAGACACATTGAAACCTCATGAGGTTCTTTCCTCCAAATTACCTCTTTTGTAGAACAGATCGCCACTCAGGCAGGAAAGCCGGAACGGCCATCACAGTTAGAAAAGGCATTCCCCATAACCATGTAGACAGACGACCCTTTGTTTCAGTAAAGTGACAGGGTGTTTTGTCACAACGATTGTTACGCAAAAATTTATTATATCTTAAGCTACCACCATTAAAATTTAGAAAATCCCACCTAATTGCCAACAGTTCAACATCTGTGGATAGCTTCTACTCCACCCAATCAATTAATTATTACTAATACCGAAATAAACACTAAACATATTAAAATAAGAACAAATATAATTAAATCAACAATTGCATATGTACAGCCTATTAACACACACAATCTGTGATTACACACCTTGTACTAACCTCTTAAACCTTACTACCCCTAGTCTAGTACACCTGCATGGAGTACGAGTAAACCAAATTTCTGTACTCTGCAGTCAGTAAACCAAAATTATCATGTAATAACAGCGAACTAAATTCACACTGTAACCTTCTTTCGCTAACTAAAATTTATATCTTAACAATAAACCAAATGTTGTATCCCAATAGTGAATCATTTAACCAACTTTCAAATTTTAACCAACAATTAACGCACCAAATGTTACACCCAAACTTAATTACTAAACCAGATATTTGTATCTAAACCATCACTCAATAAATCAGAATTACTCTGTTACACTCCAAGGTTTATACGCTAAAATAATTTAACCAATTTTATCCTGAGAACGCATTAACCAACCAAAATCATATATTGACAACCATCAGTGATCCGAACACAGGCAAAGCACTCATGCTTACAAAACAGGAAGACATCTGACTCCACCGCGTCTCCTCCTTACCACGCGACTGTTCTGAGCGACTCTTTAAAGTCAGAGTGTTCGCGGCTCCTCCCGTCCAAGCCCCTCAAAATTCAACATCACGAAAAGCTGCTCGTGCAAAACCCCTAAAGTCAGCAAACTGTGCGGTGGCGAGACTTGCCTCGTGTCGCCACTTAATTTGTCAGCAATTTCTATAGACTGTACAACTGACACTGGATGGCTAAAAATGTATGGCGTCTCAACTCTGGCTTCTGGTGGGTTTCCAACTTATAATTAATAAAACATAAATTTGACCCCATGTTAAGATAAAGCATACCCATTAATAACCTGGGGCACAACAAGGGGTCTACATACAAATCGGTAACAGTGAAGTCCTGCTTGCAGCTGTTTATATGAGGAGCGTTCCATATATAATGCCTCCTTTTTTTTTTTTTAGTGAAAACTACAACAGATACAGAAAGCATGAGAACCCAGTTAAATAGAGCAAGATTTCAGCTACTTACAGTTATTTTTCCACATAATCACCACCATTCGTTATGTAGGATTTGTCGATACTCCAATAGACAACCACTTCATAAAGTTTGCGGGCCCTGAAAAGGGCCGTTTGTTGTACAGTGCATGCGCTGGTAGAATT